ATTCTCGAACGCAATGTTCTGCGACTACGCCTGGGAGCCCGTGTGCCCTGAGTCGATTCTCGAACGCAATGTTCTGCGACTACGCCTGGGAGCCCGTGTGCCCTGAGTCGCTAGTCACCAACTGCGCCTGGGGGTGTGTACACCCTGAGTCGGTTATCGGCGAACACGCCACGCACATCGACAACGCCTGAGAGTACGTCTACTCTGAGTCGCTTCACCACACGAAGTCTATGTCTCACTGACTCGGATCGATGCGCGAAGACTGATCTCGACAAAGCTCGGATTTCGAATGAACCGTCGTCCCATGGACGAGGTCCCTTTTATACTCGTCAATCCTTGTTTTCCTAATTTTCATTGGTCGGATCCGAATCAAACAGTCCGCCGACCCCGGTCGCGACGGATGTTACCGTCTTCCGCGATTCCGTTGAAACAAAGCGTCGCGCCGCCCAGACCGCGCCGTCGACATCGATGTCGCCGCTAGACGACTCTACTCGTATGAATCATGCCGCCGCGCGACTGAAGCCGCCGCGGATCCATTATGTCGCCGCGCGACTGAAGTCGCCGCGACTCTACTGACGGCCCTAACGGACCCCCCTCGACAATTACCGCGGTTTCCCTCAAAGTATCGATTGATCTTTGAAGCGATCCGACCAGTCTACCTGCGTGGTGAAGTGTACGTGATCGTGTTCGTTTTTTATTGTCATGTTTGACTATCGTGCACGATGATGTACGCAACAGTGATTTTGCTCTTATTCGTTGAACCCCTAAGTTTGAGTTCCTTGATTTCGTTGGCAAATTGAGACGCTTGAAGAATCCTTAATATTCGCTGTTCAGCCTCAATAATCTCGCTTGCGGATAATGAGCCGGTAGACTTAATGGTACGGCGAAAACGGAGGCAATACGCGATGATTCTGAGCAATTCAGAGTAGGAAGAGTATTTGGTGAGAATCCCGGTATCGTGGGTCGCCGCTATTAAACAGGTGTTTTTCTTTAATTCCGTTATTTCGATGTCTGTTTGCATGATCTCATTGGGCCACTCGCTCTCGTCCTCGACTAACCACGAGGGTCCCGTAAGCCACATTTTGTTTCGCAAAAAAGTATGAGGCAACTGACCTCTTGATAACGCATCCGCCGGATTGTCTTCTGACTGGACGTGCCGCCATACGTTGGAACCAGTGATGTTCTGAATTTCTGTGACTCGGTTTGCTATGAACGTCTTAAGGAGATGAGGCAGCGTTTTTATCCAATGCAAAACGATGGTCGAATCGCACCAGAAAATGACTCGGTTAGGTGTAACGTTCAATATAGCGCTTGCTTCCCGATATAATTGCGCCAATACTAATGCACCACAGAGTTCTAAACGCGGAATAGTAATAGGTTTTAACGGCACAACTCTGGATTTGGCGCATGCTAATCTGACAATCGTAGTCTCAATTTCCCTGCTAGATCGAACATACAGGCATGCACCGTAGCCGACACTACTGGCATCACAGAATCCGTGTATTTGAACGTCACGATAGTAATTTATTAGCAATTTACGTTCAAAGGTGAAGTGATTTATTGATTCTAATTGTCGAACAAATTCCTTCCACTCCGTATACAGGGTGCTTCAGACCACCCGTACAGCCCCTTTATTTCGGAAATAGAACATTTTAGAGAAAAATGTTTCAGGCAAAAGTTATACGGTTTTAAAAGGGCTATATAATGAAAAAATAAATTTTCGAAACAATAAATTTTTTATAGTTATATGGAGGTCGCTGTCATTTTTTTAAATGGAACTCTCTATTGTTTATTATACTATCTTATTCTACTAAATAATATGAACAACTTTTGTCTGAAACATTTTTTTATTTGCCTAGTACTTTTTGAGATATTCAAGAGAAAATTT